AGACATTAAATAATTTTGGCCCTCAATTTAAAACAACCCAGTTAAAACCAATTTCAAATTAAAACCGAAAGGATGGGATCAAGCCAGCCCTGCTAGATGGAATAGATGAGTTTTCAGGGCCCGATGAAAAGTCCGGAGGTCTGGTATCATGCGTATCTCTGGGGGTAGGTCGTTCCAGAGGGCAGGTGCTGCCACAGAGAAGGCTCTCCCCCTGGGGGTCGCCAGCCGACATTGTCTGGCCAACGGCACCCTGAGGAGGCCCTCTCTGTGTGAGCGAACTGGCCGGGGGGGAGGCTATTGGCGGCAGAAGGTGGTCTCGTAGATACCCCGGCCCTAAGCCATGGAGCGCTTTAAAGGTGGTCACCAACACCTTGAAGCGCAGCCGGAAGACCACCAGAAGCCAGTGCAGCTCACGCAGGAGAGGTGTCACATGGGAGCGCCCAGTCGCTCCCATAATTCCCGGCGCGGCCGCATTCTGGACCAACTGGAGCCTCCGGGTGCACCCCAAGGGGAGCCCCATGTAAAGAGCATTGCAGTAGTCCAGGCAGGAAATGACGAGTGCCTGAGTGACCATGCGTAGGGAGTCCCGATCCAGAAAGGGGCGCAAGTGGCGTGTCAGGCGGACCTGATAAAAAGCCCCCCTGGCCTCGGCCGTCATATGCTCTTCTAAAGACAGCCGAGCCCTCTCCGTGGGGACCAGTGATTCACCCCCAATAACCAGCGATGGCACCAGCTGGCTATATCGGGACGCCGGAAGCCACAGCCACTCGGTCTTGGAAGGGTTGTGTTGGAGCCTTTTTCTCCCCATCCAGGCCCGCACGGCCTCCAGGCACCGGGACATCACTTCAAGGGCATCGTTGGGGTGGCCTGGGGTGGAGATGTACAGCTGAGTGTCATCAGCGTATTGATGGAACTCCACCCCAAAGCCATGGATGATCTCACCCAGCGGCTTTACATAAATGTTGAACAGAAGGGGCGAGAGGACCGACCCTTGCGGCACCCCACAAACAAGGCGCCTCGGGGTTGACCGCTGCCCCCCTGCCAACACAGATTGTGACCGGTCAGAGAGGTAGGAGGAGAACCACTGCAAAATGGTGCCCCCCACCCCCAACCCCTCCAACCGGTGCAACATGATACCATGGTCGATGGTATCAAAAGCCGCTGAGAGATCTAACAGGACCAGGATAGAGGAACAACCCCTATCCCGAGCCCTCCAGAGATCATCCACCAACGCGACCAATGCCATTTCTGTGCTGTGCCCAGGCCTGAAGCTGGACTGGAGCGGATCTAGATAGACAGCTTCATCCAGGTACTGTGGAAGCTGCTGCACCACCACACTCTCAACAACCTTCGCAATAAAATGAAGGTTGGAGACTGGATGATAGTTAGCCAAAACAGCCAGATTCAGAGAGGGCTTCTTGAGGAGGGGCCTCACTACCGCTTCTTTCAAGGCGGCCGGTAGGACACCCTCGCTCAAAGAAGTGTTAATAATCCTCTGGAGCCAGCCTCGTGTAACCTCCCGGGAAGCAAGCACCAACCAGGAGGGACACGGGTCCAATAAACATGTGGTCATGTTCAGCCGTCCCAGAATCCTGTCCACGTCCTTGGGAGCCACAGGATCAAACTCCTCCCAGATAACACTCTCAAGACCTGCCTCAATCATCCCGTCCGGACTTACCCAGTCAGAGGCCAAGCCTTCCCGAATCTGAGCGATCTTATCATACAGATACTGCACAAAATCCTCAGCTTGACCCTGCAAGGGATCATCCCGCGCTCCCAGATGGAGGAGGGAGCAGGTCACCCTAAACAGGGCGGCTGGGTGATTATCTGATGACGCAATAAGGGCAGCAAAATAGCTAGATTTTGCCACTTTTATCGCCACTAGGTAGGTCTTAATATGAGACCTCAGCAGTGTTCGGTCGGATTCGGAACGGCTGGTCCTCCAAACGCTTTCCAGGCATCTTTTCCGGCGCTTCATCTCCCTCAGCTCCTCGGAGAACCAAGGAGCTAGGTGAGTTCGGTGCCGGGTCAGAGGCCACAAAGGCACGACGCGGTTCAAAGCCCTGGTGGCCGCACTGTCCCAGGCGGCCACCAGGTCTTCAGCCGAGTCATGAGCCAGAATCTCAGGAAATGGCCCAAGCTCCATCTGGAACTTATCAGGATCCATCAGGTGCCTGGGGCGGAACCACCTAGTCGGTCCCGCCTCCCTGCGGCGGGGTGTAGCGGTTAGAAAGTCAAGTCGAAGGAGCGAGTGGTCAGACCATGACAAGGGTTCGATGACTATATCCCCTGTATCAAGGCCACTTGACCACTGACCAGAGATAAAAACTAAATCCAGAGTGTGCCCGCCCGTGTGAGTAGGGCCATGAATTAACTGAGACAGGTCCATGGCTGTCATGGAAGCCATGAACTCCTGAGCCACCTCAGACGTTTCACCGATGGATGGCAGGTTGAAATCCCCCATGACCAAAAGTCTGGGGGTATCAACCGCCACCTCAGCTATGACGTTGAGCAGCTCAGGCAGGGCCGTTGCCACATGGCAGGGAGCCAGGTACGTGATCAACAAGCCCATCTGCACTCCATGGCCCCACTTCACAAGAAGGGACTCACATCCGGCTATCTGTGGAACAGTGGTCTCCCTTGGATCAAGACTTTCCTTTATAATAACCGCCACCCCCCCGCCCCTGCCCTGAGCTCTCGGTTGGTGGAATGCATGGAAGCCTGGTGGGCACATATCTACAAGGGGATACGTCAATAGTATTATTGCTATGGAATATTTTTTTGAGACTGGAATAATAATATATCTCTTGGTAAGTTTTCCTTTAAACTAGTAATTTATTGATGGCTTGCCACACAATCTTATTATTCATTAATGAATAAGAGGTTAAGTATTTATTGAGTAATTGTTGCTTAATAAGTTGTTAGCTATCTAAGCTTACCTTACCCCCAAAGATACCAAAATCAGATGAACTAAATGCTTAAAAATATCACTTTCCCCAAATTATCCAAACTGTGCTCTAACATTGCCTGGGAAGACCATTTCATAGTCTCATAGGTTATTTCTGTTCATGATGCAGCAACTAGGAGCAAGTTCTTCTCAATGGGGATATCTCAATTTCAATTGTTCCAAGAAGTGTACTGCAGGTCCCATACTTTATTCTTTGAAATGGTGGTTGTAAGAAAACAGCACTCTGTTTCGGGACCAGTCTGTATTTTAGTATTATCATTAGTTTTTTAAAATTTATTTATTTATTTATTTATAGGATTGTTAATTATATTTTATTGTTTTCTTGAAAACTGCTTTGAGCTCCTATGGAAAAAGAGAAGTACAGGTAGTCCTTGACTTATAATAGTTCAAAGTTACAACAGCAGTGAAAAATGACTTATGACTGTTTTTCACATGACCATCAGTGGTGGGTTGCTACCAGTTCGCCCCAGATCAGGCGAACTGGTAGCGGCGGCGGGAGGCTCCGTCCACCCACCTGGACACTTCTGTGCATGTGCAGAAGTGTTGCACATGTACACAAGCATGCGCGTGCCCACAATCCCCTGAAACCCGCCCCTGATGACCATTGCAATATCTCCATGGTCACATGATCAAAATTCAGATGCTTGAAAACTGACTCATATTTATGATGGCTGCAATGTACTGCAATAATGTGACCAGCTTTTGTGACTTTCTGACAAGCAAAGTCAATGAGGAAGCCAGATTCACTTAACAACTGCGTTACTAACTTAACAACTGCAGTGATTCACTTAACAAATGTGGCAAGAAAGATCGTAAAATGGGGCAAAACTCACTTAATTAATGTCTCACTTTGCAGCAGAAAATTTGGACTCAATTGTGGTCATAAGTTGAGGACTACCTGTAGTAAGATAAAATTAATAAAAATGAATAACAATATTATTCTTACAATACTCTTACAGTATTTTCTGTGGAGCTAAAAATGGGACCAATCTGAGTGTGAATTGAATAGCACTTGATGTTGCTCACCATGTCTCAGCAGGTTTAGTGATTGGATGGACTCATATGCTGGTAGCTATATGATACATATTTAGATTTTGGGTCAATTCAGTTGCAGTAATTCACAATTGGAAGAATCTGATTCTGTCAAGCAAGGCACTACTCATAAGTAAAGATGACAGAATGAGGCCTAGAAACTATGCTCGCTAACATACAGAAACAATATCTGTTCAAAGCTGATACAGCGGTATCTAACGAGACAATCTTTTTTAAAGATTGTCTAGCTATGAAAATATTCAGAAGAATACTTAAGACGTACGATGTTCTACCATAATAATGAAACTCAGTAGTCCATTCAGTAGTTTTCTTTCAGGCAGAACTTCAGCTGAAGAGGTTTCCAATGAGCTATAAATAATGTTCAGAAATCTCCAATGCTTACACAACTGCTCCATTTCCCCAGCATATTTCAAATGACACAGGTGTTTGTTTGAAAGTCAATGCTTCCTAAAAGTATTGCACTTAGCGGGAAATAACAGATCAATACACACACATGTGTGCAGACAAACTCCTGTGAATGACAAATGTCACACAAGAACTCCTGTTTTTGACAAGAATCAGGCACAGTTAAAGTCTAGCTGCACGACCCAACTAAGCATGAAATGCTTTCACTGTTTAACATTAGAAAAAAACCAAGATAATTTTGTAAACAGTTTCACAGTATATCAGGAATCATGTTATAACATCTCTGCCCTCTCCCCAGCCCAGTCCCACCCCAATTCAGACCTATGGCTTTTTAGAGTTAGCTAAATCATCGCTTAAGAAAATAGTGAGGTACTCTAAATAGCTGCCAGTCTGGTATGATGAAAATGGCATGCATTAATGGGGCAGTTTAAAAGGTGCCAATCAAATTCTAATAATAAACTGGTTTAAAACAGAAATGCCTTCTTAGTAGTGAGTTTTTAAAGGATTTTTTTTTTGCATCTCATTATTTTCTAAATTCTAAATCTAAGTCTAAAATTAATTACACACAAATATACATTATTTAAAGATTCTTTACTACAATACTTTTGTACATGCTGGATTTATTATTAAAGTGAAAGAGAAAGAAATTACAGAAGTACAGTATCGTATTGATCTGCAGATCTTTCTGCACATCTTGGGTCTTAAAGCTGCAATAAAGGCATATCATTTAAATCTATTTTGGAGAAATATATATAAAAATCTGGAGTTAAAGCTCAGGTCAGTAATAATTATTACCTACAGATTCTCCATTCATGTTTGCCCTGATCTATGTATTTTTGCTTTTTGTCATCAAAAACAAAACAAAACAAAAGCCACTTGCTTATGTATGAGAATATTGATTTCCCCAACTAAAAAGTGGAACAATAAAAGGTAAAACAAAATAGGAAAATATACAATATTGCAGCTTCAACCCAAATCTTCACTGATCTTATTGATGGATGGACAGACAGTAAACATTTTAGACTGCTGTTTTCCCCCCTCTTTTGAAAGTGTTAATGTTTTCTGTCCCCTCATTCAGTTCTAAACTTTGGATTCATTCTCTAAATTGGCCACATCACCATTCCTTTCTGCTTGTTCTTCATGGCTCTTAGCTTCCTCTCCAGCCTCCATTTCAGCATGCTGATCTAACTGGCTTGAGACAGACCAAGTAAGGGGTAACTCTGCTCGATTGGCCATCTCTGCCAATTCTTTGGCGCTATAAGATGGGGTGTTGGTTTCATATGTCTCATGGAAATTATTATAATCAACTTCATAAAATCCATCCTCTAGGGTGAGAACAGGTGTGAAACGATAACCCCACAGAATTTCACTGGTAATGTAAGAACTTCGGGCTTGGCATGTCATCCCTGCAAAGAAAGAAGAGAGAAATTAGAAAGATTAGCTAGACTCAGTGGTACTAAATTTACTTATTTATTAATCACATTTATATAGCTGGCGATATGACTCTGGGCACTGTACACACAAGTACATCTTTTATCTTTGGTTTTAATTCTTTTGCTACTTGGAATGCTTTTTCATGGAAAAGTGGGATAAAAAACATTTTTAAATAATATACTTACTATGATTTTATACTTAAATTCCAAGGAAAAAGCACGACAGATTTTTAAAATTCAAGGTTTAATAGCATGCAAAAATGATGTCTTATATTCAATTTAGAAAAAGAACTTTACAGATAGTCCTTGTTTAGCAAGTGCCACATATAGTGATCATTCATGGCTTCTTTTTTTGGTGGCAATTTTATTAAACACTATAATTATAACAATAAAAACTAATTCAAACTGAACAAATATACAAAAATAAAAAGAGTAGAAAGTGCAGAAAAAAAGAAAAAAAGGGAGAAATAGAAGAAGGAACAGAAAAGAAAGAAAAGTAAAAATATAGTAAAGAAAATAAAATAAATATATGAAGTGACTTTGCACCTTCACCACAAATATGAACAATTTTAGTAACTTATCATCTTCTCTTAAAATACAACAAATGATTTCTTCTTCCCATATTCCATAAAGCACAGTCATTTGAGTTCTTGTGCCAGCAAAAGTTCACAAAGGTTTATCAAAGATATTTATTTTAATCTTGATCAAATAAACCAACTATATATTGTTTTACTTCTAACAAAGAATCTTTAGCCCATTCAAATTGTGTCATAGAACTTAATTTCTTTTCATTTTTTTGGTCACTTCTCATGAGATACTTCAAAACATGCCTCTTTTGTAAACCCAGTACAAGAAAATTATCCTGTATTAGAAAATACCAGGGTGGTATTCGGACTTGTTCCTTTGGTGGGTGAGGTTCTTTCTGGCCAATAATCTTGTAGAATGCTTTTGGTCAGTTCTTTTCTCTTCCCAGCAGACCCTTGCATTAGAGATGAAGTGTTAGCTCCATCTCTTCATCTTCTGTGGCTTCCAATAGCACAACACACACACACACACACACACACACACACACACGCACACCATACACCACACACACCATTCAAAAGAGACAATAACAAAGTTAAGAAGGAAACAAAAAGACCAGAATAAATCCTCTCCAGCAGTTTATACCCAGATAGGGATTAACAGTCAGCAAACAGCCGAGCTGAAAATAAAACCCTAATAATCACCTCCACCAACCTTGGCAGGGGAAGCTACTGTACATAAACAAGGAGCAAACCCCACACTAACTCACACTAATGATGCTACTTAGTCTGGAATGAAACATCTGCAAATGAACAAGCAAGCTCAGAGCACCAAGAGTTCTACAGTTCAACTCTGAGCTACACATATTCTCTTCTATTGGAAACATATAATTGTACTTTGGAGATTGCTGTAGATATGGTAATAACCACTGTTTCCAGTATTTCTGCCCTCTACTATTATGTCCAGGGACTTAACTCTATAAGGTCTAAAGATCAGGTGAATCACCACCTGGTCTTTTTGGGAACCCATCCATTTTGATGCACGAAGTACATCATTATCTACTGGGCAGATGGCACGGACTCTGGCATCTCATTCTAGTAACCTAGACACCAATAGCAAACAGTTAATGCACAGTTATTTTTTTCTAACTAAGCCTTCTGTTTTTGTACGTGAGTTTACTGCTGAAATGCAGCTGACCAAATCTGAGAATGGCTAAAAACAACAATAAGCTGGAGAAGCTTAACTTTTCCTGACTTGTGTTTGTGTCCTCTCATTTGAAGTGTGAGAATTCTATACTTGGCTCACAATTTCTCTTAATTTTAATTATTTTATTGCCTCCAAAATTGCTGGTGAGTTTAATATATAGGTCTTCAGATTCCATTTATTTAAATAAGGGTTGGTGACAAAAAACCTACCCAAAGGACCTCAGATTTCTCTACTGAGGATGGTTACTCTAATGATGGCTACTAAACTACTCAATAAAAGATGCGAAAGAATATAAAGTTCATAGACTTCACTGACCATACCCTAATACTGGTAGTATGGGAAATAAGAAGAATTTGAAATTTTAATGCAGGTTTAGTTGGCATACTCTACCTAGCAGAGTAATAGCAATTATTACAATAAAGTAATTAAGAATAAAATTTGTTCGAAATCAATAGAGAGTGATAAAATGTACTATATGTTAAAAGTAGCCACAACTAAAAGTTGATTAACATAAATACAAGTTAACAAACTTGATTAAAATAAATTGAGGAACAAGTGAAAACAGTTTACCTTTTTAAGAATTAAAAACAAATGGTTGAGTTATATTTTGACTACCATTCAGTTTCAGGACATAGAATCAGGCCGAAGAGTTCTCCCCCTCTCTCCATTCTTATGTTGATACTAACAAGTAAATAAGACAGGGCTGCTTGTCATATTGTTTGAATGGTCCACTATCCCTTTCTGGAGGCAGAAAAATACAACACCACCCTCTAATAATCTCCTACCAACCACCAAAGCAGATTCAGGGCAACTTTACTGTCCTATGTTTTGTCCTTGAGGTTTCAGTCCATTTTAGGTAGCATGCTTATATTTGTGGAATGGTAGCAATCCATTGGGTGTTTCACAGAAGCAGGAATGTCTTTTCAAATAAAACAATGCTGACTACATTCTGTAATATCTTTTAGAACTAACTTTAACCCTGACTCCTGTAAAAGTACATATAGCACTACAATAATTATATACCTATACATAGAAGTAGCTGGTCTGAAATCTTGTGGAATTTTTTAAAAGTATGGTTTTTATTTCATCGAACTTCTTTCTTTTCCCCATTAATGTGCTTTTTAAAAGTCCAGTGATGTATTATTTTATCCCCCCCCGCAATAACCTGAGAGAGAATATTTTCTCCTCTAGCTTCCCCCCCCACCCCCCATGATTTGTTCAGGGAGTATATACATCTGTATGTACTCTCTGGAAATGTAAATCTTCAGGTTAAGGTGAAATAATTTGCAGATGGTTTGGCCAAAATGTTTTGCATTATTCTTGAAAATGGTCAAGAAATAGCAAATGACTATTGAAGAACTAATTTCCCTATCTTTTGATTGTCAATAAATCTGAAACTGGATCTAAGACAATTCTGTAACAAATTATAAAGAAATCAATCTGAAAGAACTTTGAAAATAGCATAAACATGAATTTGTCAAAGTTAATCCTTTCTCATATATGAATTGGATGACTATCTTAAAAGATTGTGGGAATGCTATAATTATAATCTATCTCTATCTTGTTTTCAGGAAAGATAAAATAGCATAGAGAAGTGGGAGAGGTCACAAATTTGGTGCTTAGATTTTGGAGGTGTCCAGACTCTAGTTGAACCAGTATATGCAGCTGTATTGGGCATCAGAAAAGCGGACAGTCCTTAGACAGGGCAGCAGACAGAAACAAACTATGGTCGGTGATCTCAGGCGTAGACTGCACCATTGTTCCATCCCAAGCCTTATTTAACCAAAACCACCACTGCCATGTGGAAGGAATATTCCTTGTTTTAAACAGATTCTTGGCATTTTCCTTTTCCTCACAGGGAATGCCCCATACTCAGATAAATGAGGTTTTTGAGTGGAGCCAGCACCCATTATTTATCAAAGATATTTTATCTGTGTTGGTTTATATCCATTAGATTATTCTGTGAGATTTAGGGTCATTATATTAGGAGAAGGGTCAGAAAAAACCCTTATGTTTTACTAAATGTTTTCTCTGTCATAATTTCTCTTGCAGAATCATGATGTACAAACCCGTTTCCTTGTAAATGTCTACATATTAGAAAGGATAGTAATGCCAGGATGATAATGGTTCACTGCATTTAGTCTTTGGAATAAAGAGAGACAATGGTCCTGTTTTCAGCCATCTGTTTAAATTTGTCTAATTTTAGAATATTTGGGATTACTAATAAAAATCAATAATAGGTTGATTTTTACTTAAGTCCCATTTTCCTGAGATCCGGACCATCCCCACCCTATTGGCCTTCCGAAAAGGGGTGAAGAACTGGCTTTTCCGGCAGGCCTGGGGCCGTTGATCTCGCTGTTGCAATCTGGCGAGATCCGGCCATGAATGGTGTGAATGGGTTTTAATTGTTTTTAATGTTTTAATGTTTAATGTTTTTATATATGGTTTTTAAATGCATTGTAAGCCGCCTTGAGTCTTCGGAGAAAGGCAGCATACAAGTTGAAATAAATAAATAAATAAATAAATAAATAAATAAATAAATAAATAAATAAATAAATAAATGTTTACCCATAGTAAAATTACCTCTGGTGCTTTCCATCAATTCCTTTCTCTGGGTTTGTTTGACATCCTGAACCATAAACTAACTTCACTACTTGGATTCCCAAACTGGCTTAGCTGAAAGTTGATGGGTTAATTTATGTTGCAATGTCTCATGCAACTATACTGAGGGTCCTGCTAATTTGTTTCCTGGCATAAATCTTTATCTTTTTTCATGGTTCTCTAATCCTCATTAGATGATACTGTGCATCCAAAAATAAAATATGCTAAGGCAGGGATGTGAAACTGTCATCATCACGGCGGCATCACGTGACATATCGGGACTTTTCCCCCCTTTGCTAAACCAAGTGTGGGCATGGCCAGCGAGTGACGCATCCAGCCTGCGGGCCAGGAGTTTGATGGCCCTTTGCTAAGGCAACACAGAAGAATGAAATGACCCTTACCTAAGTGCAGCTATGTGAATGCAGCAAGGTATGTTAAAGTCAACTTTCTGATTATTGCCAGCATTTCTAACTTGGCTGCCTTCTTTATTTCTTGGAAATTGCTTAGTTATACTAATGTAGCTTTTAATTTTAATAGCAGCCTTACAAGATTCAGGTAATAAGACAAGCAAAATTAACTTGTATATTGAAAGTGAAGGAATGGAGAAATGGGGGGGGGGGGATATTCAAATTCCATTTGAG